AAAAAAAAAAAAAAAAATTTGCAATGAAGAGAAATACAGTCACGAAAGCCCACATAGTCACATCACGGTTGAAGTGGCGGTCAACTGGAGCAAGGGTGCTTGATTTCCGGCTTGCTCCACTTTGGAATATTTTTTCCTTGTGTTCTGTTTTTTTTGCGGGGGAGAGCCTCCTTTGAGATACCCCTTTTTTTTTTTACTTTCTGAAGGGCATGGTTAGGACCGGTTACGCTTCTCCACCACCTTTGCTACAATTCGTGGCCGCCCCTTGTAATATATCACATAGTATAGCCACTCCTCCACAGGCGCGAACGTATGCAGAGGGAGAGAGGCGTGGCGCCACGGGCATACGGCGAAGTGCATATAAAATATAGCGGTGCGACCCTTTTTTCTTTTTGCCGCTAAGGAAAAAAAGCACAGCCACGCCGCCGCAAAATGCCCTATACAATCATTTCTGCTCATGACGCGGCGGGGCATACAACATTTTATTTTTGTTCCCCTCGGTGCTTCTCCATGTTTGGCAGCGTCGATGGGGAAAAACAGGACAATATAAAAGGAAAAAAAAGAAACACATATGTACACGATTTTTTTATAAAAACTTATGTAAACTTCAACTGTCGCCCTTTTGTCGCTTCTCCGCGTGGCCCACGACATGCCCCAAGGAAAACGCAACACATGGCTCGTTTACAATAATAAATAAAAATTAGCAGCGGAACGATTTGTACGCATAACTCTATTTTGTACCCCTTGCGAGGTTATTCCTCTGCGGGTTTAAGTCGGTCAATGACAGGAGGAGCGCTTCGAATATGGCAGCCCACACCATTTCTCTCCATTAGGTTTAGTTTGTGCAAAGGGATGATATTCCCTACGGTGTTCATCACACGGGGTTTTTACCAACGATGGGTATATCGCCACTCCCCCCCTGATCGTAAATCCTCTCCAATGGAAGGAGGGGAACTGTGGCCTTCGTTGTGCGTAAGGGGGATAGAGGTGGGGGAGAACATCCCCATGCACAAGTGTGTACCTGGCCTACCAAGCGTTGTCCTCTTTGCGCATGCGCATATGTGTGCCCGCATGACGGGTAAAATTTAAAAAGGTAGCAAACTGTTGAAATATGCTTAACCAAAAAAAGAAAAAAAAAAGAAAGAAGAGACGAATACTAATCTGATGGAAGGAAGGTGAAAATAACTTAGCCTGCGCTCGGGGCACAAGGGCAACAAAATGCGTGTCAAAAAAAGAGAAAAAAAAAAAAAAAAAAAAACATAGTCGTGTGCATCCCCGGCTGCTCCTATGTGGGAAAGACATTCCCCCATTTTAAATTCTTCAAAAAAAGGTGACGCACGTAGGGTTAGACATGCGTTGAGGGGATATAAAGGCGCTAAGGGGGTGTTTCAACCCCGAGGTGGTAGTGGTGGTGGGGATAGCCCCGCTCCTCACCCTGTTTTCACAAATTTCTCCTGCGAATTCCATCATGCACGAGCTTCTCTGTGAGGTTTCCAGTGATCTGCGTGAGGTGGCTGGTAGCCGTTTGGCTAATCTTCTGCACAGTGTCGTCGATCGTCTTCTCGTGCTTGAGGAGGATGGGGCGTATTATATAATTATACACAGTTTCCGCTCCCCTGAATTGCGGCATGTACAGGAACAGGAGGAACAGGAGCTTGAGCAAATAATAAAAGGGGACCCAAAATAAAATAATATCAATCAGGTACTCGAAAAAAAAGAACAGAGAGTAGACCACCCAGTAGGTCAGCCACAACTTGGTTTCGTCTTTGCACTGAGACTCGACTGCTTTGAAGGACTGGTACGCTGCGCGGGGTGTAAAGAAGCGGCGCGTGAGGTGGGGTAGCGACGCGTGCGGTTGAGGATGTTGTACGTGGCGTGTCGCACCTCCCGAAACCGTGTAGAGACTCACCTGGGTAAGCAAAACCAACGACGTTACAAATGAGTGCCGCGCCCCAGCCAAGGATAAGTGAGAGCAACAGAAACCCGCCCACACCAACAATGACGTAGGAGGGCTTCACACCATACTTCCTCCCCAGGTCATCCAACAAGGGGTACTGCTTTACATGCTCGTCTAGCTTGTCTAGTGTTTTACTCAAATCGAAATTGCTAATGGATTCTCCTAGGACTTTGGAGGAGAGCCTCTTGAAGGCACTCATGTTTTGTGAGCTCCCCCCTCTTCCGTACTTGTCCTGGTCCTTGTCTTTGTGCTTGGAGTAGAGTTTGCCCTTCATTGGTGTGGGGTTCAGTGTGGTTGGGCGTGTGTCTTTATCACTGTCCGCCTGACTGCCTGATGAGGGGATGGTGGTGGGCTGAATTGCATTTATGTGCCACGGGACTTGACAAAACGGGTCACAATAAAAAAGCGGCACAATGGGTAGGTAGAAGCGAACCACAATCAGCTCAACCCGCGTGTTTTATCTTCCTTGTGGGGGGCTCCTCGCTTTACATATGTGTGTCCGTTTTGTCCCTCCGCTTTGCTGCCCTACCTGGTGACGGTTTTCCCCTCTGTCGCAACTGCTAAGCTGTGTAACAAAGGCTACGCGCGCTGCTGGATGTAATGGGGTGGAAGAGAGGCCCTGACGTTTCGGGGAACCACTGGTGCTCGCACTTTCGAGGACCCCTGCACTCGTCTTGTGGTACGCAAAAGAGGGTTGCCATAAAGGGGCTGCGAAGGAGCAGCAAAGGAAGAGCAAATGGGCAGCAACGGACCAGAAAAGAAAGAGAGACAATATGAAAACGCGTGCGTACGGCATGGCATTTAGCACGGTTTCTGGCTTTTGCGGCCCGGCCAACTTTCAACGCATGTACTCCATATGCATTTTTAATTTTGCGCACTGGTCGTACTTTGCGTTTTCACAAGTGGAAGCATTTCGCATGTGAGTTCCTCCTCTCTTGGCGCATCCACAGTTGGTATTCTGCAATTGGTGTTCCTGGGTCGGACGTGTTTCCCCTTTCGCTTGACTCACAAAAATGGCATTGCCAGCAAAAGGACACATATATACACAAGGGGGAGGGCAACGAAAATTGTGAAAAATGAAAAGGCCCAGTTGATGAAAAAAAAAAAAAAAAAAAAAAAAAAAATGTCGAAGCAGATCGCGAAAATGAAATGGTGCACAGGTGTGTGCGCGCGGGAGAATAAGGCGCGCAAAAAAAAAAAAAAAAAAAAAAAAAAAAAAAAAAAAAATACACCAATTCGACTCGACCGTCCCCTGCGGAGGAAGAAAAATTATAGTTTTGTCTCCCACCCCCCCCTAAAAAGGAACACATTTGGGTTGGTGTTTAAAAAGGAGTTTTAGCAATATCACACCGCCTACGTTTTCTCACTAAATGAAACAAATAATTCCCTTTGCACGGGTCTCCGACGTGGACACGTAGCGATATGCAGTTGTCTTCCCATCTAGCCTCGGGCGCGCATTCCTTCTCTTCTGTGGTGCATGCTGCGCCCATGTGGAGGAAAATTCGTACAGTGATTAGCAATTCGCGACACAACTTAAACGGGAGCAGTGTTTGTGCCAAACGTGGTTCCGCTCGGGGACCCTCTAGACGAAGCAGTGCGTGGCCCACAACTTGTCTCGCCACTGCGTTAGTCCACTGTGGCTGTGTACCCGACACGTAAGAGTGAGTTAGATATCAGTTGCCTCCTCGAGGTGTGGCGGTTGAAGAGGTGAACAAGTGAACGGGCAAGGACCAGCGGAGCAGGGCCGCATGTAGTTAAAACAAAAATGAACAATCCGCAAACACCACAAAAAATATTGGTGTACCTCTTTTCTCTTTCATGCGACATGCATCCCTTTTAATGCAAATGCAGCAGCGCGTCACCCATTTGAACGACCCCATTGGAAATGGAACAGCAATGGGAGCAAGGGACCTCACCGAGGGAGGATACATAAAGGGGGTCTGCTTGCCAGGTTGCTAAATAAATAAGGCGGGTACAAATGTCCATTCATTTTTTTTTTTTTTATTTCCGGGATGCAGTCCCCCCAATAGAGGTATCATTTTTAACACAGCGTGTTAACGCAACGGAGGATGAGGTGACAACTCCACCTGAACCGTATCACTGCGCTCTAAATGTGTATCCTTGCAAGTGGGATAATGCAAGGTCAAGTGCGCGGTTAAGGGCGCAATTACCTGTACCTATGCGTGATGGTACGCTCCTTTCTTCGTGCTTCTCCCTCACAGTGGGGAATACGAAATGGCGAAAGCCGAGCGCACACGTGTTTATGCCCGCGTGACAGACTAACCAATTTATGTTACTCCTTGGCCAAACTAAACCCTTCGTATTAGCAGAATATACCCAAGGGGGAAAAAAGGTGCATGGAAGAAAGGCGCCTGCAGGCATACAACACTATACGGAAAGCACATGCGCATGCGACGCTTCAGTTAAAGTAATCGTTCCGGGGGAGGGTCACGAAAGTAAACATGTTGTTTTAAAATTGGAACTAAATTTTTTTTTTTTTTTTTTTTAATTTCTCAGTTTTGCACCCGCTCTCAAACGTGTTCAACTAAAACCCTTTCACAATCTTTGTGGAAAATTTTTATACCGAGCAATGTGGAGAGAGTTGTACATTGTCATCCGTTCCTTTCCCCTACCTTGCTGTTGCAACATCGCTACAGGGTGCATTGCGGGCCAAGGCCCTATTTTATAATATACTGGTCGTTTTCCACCCACCCCCGGGTGTACTGTCATATATCCTCGTGCACATAATAATTACAAGTGGGCTGCAAACACATTCACATATGCTGCGTCCTCATGCAGGGGTGAGCTACGCCAACCTGACCTCATGTTTGTAGCACCTCCCCCCTTTACGCTGCTGTTTGGGGTGCAGCAGGGTTGGGGGCTTCTCCCTCTCTCCCATCAACGTGTCGCCAAAAAGGAGCGTGAATGTATTAAGTTGCTCTACTGTTGTTGCTCGAAAGCAGTGACCCATTAATGAGTTACAAAGGAATGCGCAAATAATTTATTACAATATGTTCATGCACAAACAGGTACGTGTATTATATAATGTCGTCGTTGTGCACAAGTGTCAACCACTTCCCCGCTGAGT